CTCCTTCCTTTTGTAGTGAGTCAGATCATGGTGTTCCTCCTCTACTAGACCTCCCAGGGCCTTTCCGTAGAACTTGGAATGATTTCCAAATTTCTTATGGTGGCCATTGAGTTCCTCTACTACCTAACTCCAGTTTTCTCCCAAATTCTTTCACTCTTTTTCTAGTTTAGTCTGATATGGTGCCAGAAGATTTTTTTTTTCCTTTTCTTTTTTATTTTGCAAATATAAACTTGCCTCTGTTTGGTGGATTTTTGTCCTTGTTCTTTTATTAGTAATACTCACTGCTTTAAGATTTATGTTTTTGGCCTCTACTCAAGATTTAAGGCTCAGTTTGAATATCCTTCCTACTTATTGAGAAATCTCTGAATAAACCATCTTATCCAAAATACTTTGTAGCATTGCCAAAAAATATGTATATTTTAGTTTGGCAGACCTGGATGTTTGAAGAATCTTTACATTTGGATTCAAGAAGTATTGACAAAGTACCATCCTCACCAAATGGTGAATACCATGAACTGCCCTTGCTGGGTTCAGCATTTGTAAAACTTTGTCATGGTCAAATGTGACCATACATGTGCAAGTGCTGGAAAGTGTAAGATTTGACATGAAGCCAGTTGCTCCTAGAAGAAGAATCACAGCATGACAAATGCAGATGTTAAAGAATTTACATTTCATCCGATATAAAATCAGAGAAAGAAGACTTTTTCTTTGGTAAAACTTCAATTTGCAGCTTTTCAGTTAAAGCTAGAAAAGCAGTGCTCATTGTTCAGGCCATTTGTTCAGTTACCAGCCATGCGTCAGGAGTGAAAAGCATCCTTTAGCAGTCATTGTGGATATAAAGGTGTCTGCATGCCTGTGTTTCGATCTTGACTCCATCCCAGCCTGGCTGTGGAATCCTGGGGGAGTCATTGAACTTCTTTGTCTCTCAGTTTCCTCATCTGAAAATAGTTTAAGCAGTACAATATCCACCCTAATGATAAGCCTGGGGGTACTCTGTAAGATGGAGTATGGCAAAACTACTTTGAGCAGTCCTCATTTGATAAGTGCTAGTTGTCTTTTTTTGCAAAGTGATGTAATTTCAGCACATTTAAAGGCCTCGTTACAAATGGCACAAGAAATATATTGTGGGCTGGGACCTAGAACCACGAATTTCTGACTCGTGAAGAATTGTGGAGCAATCTGAAACATTTTAAAGGATTTATGCAACTAAACATTAGCTAATGCCCAAAAGAGACATTGGCTACAAAGCAATATGTTCATTATAATACCATTTTTTTTCCCCTAAAGATAAAAAGGGATGAAAAGTACTGAAAAGACACCCAGCAAGGAGTGGATCGTGGGTGTGCAGCCGAGGGATTTGGGGAACACGACTGATTTTGTCTTCTTTGTGTTTGTTATGTTTTCCATGTTATGATTATTCAGCAGATGTGACTTTTGGAATCACAAAACATTAAGAAGATGAAGCAAAGCACTATCAGCATCTCTTGAATGCGTGACTTTGCCGAATCCTTGTTTTATGCTCAGTGCTTTACATTTCCAGGCAATTCTAACTCAGGCTTTTGCTGAGCTCCCCTAGCAACCTATCTGTTCCCCAGTGCTACACCTTGCTGCCCTCGAAGTTTTCGTTTAGGGCTTAGCTTCCTCACACATGTGTATAAGATTTCTACCCTGGGTACCTTGTATGCTGGTGGGTTAGAAATCTTTGATGGATCATATGGTGGTGCATGTCTGTAATTCCAGCTACTGGGGAGGCAGAAGCAGGAGGATCACAAGTTTGAAGCCAGCCCGAGCAACTTAGTGAGAGTCCATCTCAAAACACCCATTTTTAAAATAAAGGACGTCCACCTGGATGCTGACTTTAGAACTGGTTCTCCTTTAAGCTCAATTTCAAAATTACTAAGATTGTATATAAAATCCAGTTTTTATACTGATAACTGGTAATTACATATTCATTTCTGTACTTTATTTCCTATCAAGGCTTCTTATACCTCCAAGAATTTTTCCTCTTATATTATAAAACATTTGTAAGCCACAGTTAGAATTTACATTTCCTATCCATGTAGCATGCCACACCTAGATCACTAGCTAGTTTATTATTAAATCAGTTTTAACCTACTTCTGTGCTGGGTGCCTTGTGTGGTGGTGCAGTCAGGATATCTGACGCTGCACAACTATGGGTGTCCAGGCTTCTGGAAGGAGTTGTGAGCTCCCCTGAGTAGAACTGTACGCAGGAGCTGGAAAGGCAACTCCGACCGTGTGAGGCTGGAGGCCAGGTCCTGGCGCTGTTGTCCTGGCTGCACCTGCTTGCTGCTAAGGGCCCCTGACAACATCTATGGCCCTGGCTCCTGTCATTGCTGAGGCTGAAAGAACCTGGCATCTTCCACCAGCAGACTGCAGGTGGATGCACTCCTACAGAGTGCTTTGGGTCGGGTATAGAAGTGTTTGTGCAGTCAGGATGTGTCCATGGGAATTAGTGGCCTCGGGCAATGCACCTCACAGAGAAAGCATCAGTGAGCAATTCTATGAACAGAGCATCCTGGGAGAAAAGAGGCTAAGGGCTACAAATGTCAGGATGTGTGTGTGTAGATATCCCAACTCCCCAGGATGAATGAGGTCATTATGCATACAAACATGCTGCTAATAAAAAAATTTTTTTAAACACGCAAAGAAAGAAAAAGCATATTAACGTCATTTAAGGGGGAGGCCAGCTTTGATCTTACCATTCTATCTGCATCACTTAGTACCTGCTCTTGAAATTCATAAATAATAAATAAGTGTTAAAGGAGAAAAACATAGAGGAGCTGATCATTTTCTGACTGCCAGAGTCCCTAGGATGTGAGTGCTGGAGGTAGCTTTTGCAAGCGGCTGGTAGAGACCCACCCTGCACCTTGTTTCAACTGTCACCCCCCCACCCACCCCGCTGGGTGATAATCAGCAGCACAGAGACAGCAGAGTGCAGGAGGGAGGACATCACAGTTTCAGCCTTGGGAAAAGTGCCTAGAGTGTCAGGGCCACAGCTGTAGAAGCCCTGATAATAATAAACATAGTCACAGGAGAACCACGTTCACTGAGGAGTGACGCCATACCAGGCGCTAAGTGTTTAGATGTAGAACTTCCTTTTATAAATTTTTATCACTCAATTTTCTATCACGATTGTTGATAGAATTAGGAGAAATATTCCAGGTAAGCTTCTCAGCCCTGAGCCTTAGCAACATTCTCAAAACAGTTATTTTGTTGCTCTTACCATATCTAATAATAGCAACACCAATGACTGCCTTCTGTTCCAAAGACAACTCGAAGAGGTTTTCAAGACTTCTGCCCCGTAGACAAAGTCCTGAGACTTGTTCTTCCCAGAATCCCCCACAAGCCAGCCCAGGTTGAGTCTTCAACAAACACCTGAAGAAACAGTACCTGAAGTTGTATGGTTATGGCTTTGAGTGAGTGGCTTTCGCAGGGCAGTCTGTGCTTCTCCTAGAATTCTCAGTCTATTTTGTGGTCTGAGAAAGAAATGGCTGCCGCTTTAAAGAGACTTTGTCAGTGTGTGAGTGACGAGTCCAAGGAGGGTGTGGTAGGGAAGACTCGAGGCCCGGACAGTGTGTGACACCAGTCCCTGCTGGCCAGGACAGGGCCCTCTCACTGTCCCCACCTGGAAACGCATCTTCCCTGGAGGGGTCACTTCCATAGACCAGCTGCACATCCAGCCTCGAATGCAGTGACTGCGTGCCAGATACTTTCCGGTTCTGTACGAATCATAGAACCTCAGCCCTGAAAATTGCTTCCTACATAATCTATTTCAGGGTTTCCAGATTTACAGCAGATGCGTCACTTTCCTGAATCTGTGGATGACATCTCTCATCGGACAGCACTCTACTTTTGTGCCATTAGAATCCTTAAGATCATATGTAATTAGAATTACACGGAATTCCTCATGGCCAGGCATTAGCACGGGCCCTCACCTGTCCAATGTGGACCTGTCAGAGGTGGGCAGGGCGAGGGAAGGGCATTTGCTGTGTCTGTGGACGCTACCTGGGCACTGTGGAGCAAGGGGGGGGCAGGCACTTCTGCCACTTCAGACTAGGAACACTTAAGCACCAAACGTCACCTCCTTTGTTTTCACTGTTATTTTCTCTCTTTTTTCATAGAAGAAAGGAAAAAGAACTCTTTAAGAGGTCATTTAACTCCTTCTTACACACAAACTTATAAAGCCAGCCAAAAGCCAGCCTGTGAGCAGTGGAAACAAATTATAAGTGATGATTTTAAATTTTTTTTTTTCTCTGAAGCAGTGAGATTAGTAAGCAGAGACTCCGGCCTCTGACCTCCGCCTCTCAGACCTCCGTAGCCTGAGAAGTCCTGGGCCCAAACCAGGAGGAAGTGGCTGCTGCCTGCAGCGAAGAGGAGCTGTCCCTCAGGCGTCCAGCGCTTCCCCTGGTTTAACAGGAGGGTGTGGGACACACCACAGAGACAGAAAGCCGGTTTCTACATATGGGGGAGAGAGAGATCAGTTATGTCGAAAGGAAAACGACGAATGTTTCTTTATTTTCCCTTCTGTGTGCTTAAGGAGAGGATACGAAGGTAAGACTGAGGATTAACCAGGGCAGGACATGAAGTAATGTGCATTTCCACCTTTTCAAACCACGAATGACAAGTAAGCTTTCAAATGAGTCAGCACCGTTGTAGCTCCTGCAACTGAGACTATAACCCTCTTCTGCATGACGAAGACATATAAGGGAGGAGCCTCATCTACTTTTCCACCTGGCTCTATGGGAAAGAGAAAAGCTGGAGAAAATTAGAGTTTTTAAGCAGTTCGACAGAGACCAAGTTTAAAGTTCTGGCAGGCTAGATTTTTCTTTTCTTCTGGTGGGAGGACAGCAAGGGTGTGCTGGAGGGGAAGACTGCTGAAAACACAGAGCTCTCCTTTTGGATTCTTTCTCATAGACCCTAGGGAAAGTGGTCCTGCTTTGATATGGAAATTCGCCGATGTAAATTAAAAAATAAGCCAGTATTTTCTGAAAACATATTTATTGTCTGAATAATAAGACTTAGCTAAGGAGTTATTAGAATTAGAATTCCTCTCCTTGAAATATACGATCCCAATAAGCATAAAAAGCGCCCCCCCATGAGAAAGAATACATTAGCAATGGAAATCACGGAGGCTGGGGGTCTACGATCTGTCTACTGCTCAGTAACCTTTCCACGGAGCGGGCCACGCAAGCCCACCTCTCGTGCCCAGCGGGCCACGCAGCCCGAGGGGCTCCCGCGCTGCACGCGGTGGCTCCTGCAGGCCAGGCTTAATAAATAAGAGCGGAGGAGGGCGGGCCAGGCCAGCAGCTCGCGGGCGGCATCTGCGCGGCGGGCGGCACCGCGTAACGCATGGCCCCGCTGCCCACCCCGCGGCCTTCCCGGCCTTCCTTCGGCGGACGCCCAGGTCCCGCAGCCCCGCGCCCCGCGCCGTCCGCGCGGCCTAGGCGCTCGGGAAGCCGCTCCGCAGGCGCCCCAGCCGGGAGCCGTGGCTGCGGAGGGTGAGCGCCAGCAGCTCGGACCTGTCGCGCAGCCCCGCCGAGATGCGCAGCGTGTCCCGCAGCAGGGCGCGCGTGCGCAGCAGCATGCCCAGGAAGTCGGCGGCCAGCCTGGCGTCCTGCCGGCCGTCCTGCTCCCGGCCCTGCTGGAACTTGCTCTCTAGCTCGCTGAGCGACCGCTCCGAGCTGGAGTAGGCATCCCCGATCTGGCGCGACTCGCGGCGCAGGTAGGCGCCGTAGCTGTCCTCGCCGTCCAGGTCGTAGGAGATGCTCTTGCCCAGCCCCTCCAGCACGCGGCCCGAGTCCTCCACCTGGCGGCCCAGCACCGTGAACTCCTCGCGCAGGCTCAGGCGCAGCGCGTCCCCGGCCGGGCTCCCCGCGCCCTGGGCGCAGCGGCCGCGCTCGCTCACGCGGAACAGCAGCTGGCACTTCTCGGGGTCGTCGTTCTCCTCGTAGTCCCCGTCCGGCACGAAGTAGTGGTGCAGGCTCCCGTTGGACATCTCTGGGTACAGGGGGCCGTCGAAGTAGCCCTGGCACAGCGGGCACAGCAGCCCCACGCACAGCAGCCCCACGCACAGCAGCGTGGCCCACGCCATCCCGAAGCGCGTGTGGTGACCGGGGCGCGGAGCAGGCGCCGAGGGGCCCGAGTCAGTGCCTCCCCGAGGCCGCGTCCGCCGCCGCGCGCTCCTGCCGGGTGCGCCCTGGGCCCCGCGCCCCAGCGGGCCGCATGTGGCAGCGCACGCGGGCCGAGTGGCAGGCCGGGCCGGCTCCGCGCTGCCTCTGCCTCCCGTGTCTCGCCGGGCTCCCGGAGACGCTGCGAGCGGGGGCCAGCGGGGCTCTGCCTTCGGATGCTAGTGCAGCTTCTGCGCTGGGTGGGAGCGGAGCGCTTTCCTCGGCCGAAGATATCCCGGGCTCTCAAGTTACAGCTGGTTTCGTCACTTGGAAGCCGGGGAACAAGTTTGGAAAGAAACCTCTGGCCAGGTCCCGCTATTAAAGCTACAGAGTCGCTTTTTAAAGTTGGGAAGGAGAAGCCTGTGAAAAGGGAGTTTGGCTTCAAGGGGAAAACAGCAGGGGGTAAAGAGAACGTCCCCCACCCAAAGCCCTGTTTGCTGCTGCTGCGGACGGACGTGTGGTGGCTGAAGGACATCGGCCTGGAAGAATGCCACTGAACATATTTAAATAAACATCGGCTGGGTGGGTTTGTTCAGTATGACTATTTTTATCTTGAAAACGTTTGCCTCTGAAGGCAAAAGTGAAGTGTCAGAAATAGGAGTTTCCTTTGGAAATGGTTGGCTACTATTATGAAAACAGAGATAGAAAATTGGTTCTTGAATCATGCATAGTGGCTAATAGGTGTAAAACCAAAAACTAAAAAAAAACAATGAAAAGTAAGAAATAAATAAATGGAATTTTCCCTGTTTAGTAAATAAAAGGACAACTGGAACCATTGTTTAATTTTATTGAAAAGCCATCTATACTCAGCTTCTGTATTGAATTTCTAACTAATACTTTACAGCCGTTGTTTCTTTTGAGATATTTCAAAGCTTTTGCAAAAACTGGATTATCACAGATAGCTTCCTTTTCCATATGGCGAAACGAAAGGGCAGAATATGAAACAAATTGCTCATGGCTACACAATTAGACGGTGGTGGAGTCCTATTTTACTTTGAAAAAAGAATACCTTATTTCTCGCCAGGCTGCTTAGCTTCTGATTGTGAGTCAGGCTGGCAGGGCTCACCCCAGCCCCTCGTTCCCTCAAGGAGGATCCTTGAGCGTTCACTGTGCACCAGCTTCTGGAAGTTCAGTACTGGAAATGCAGCAGGAAGCGCGAAGTTAATTCAGACCCCCACCACTCTTAAGCTCTCCTTCTGGAAAGGGAGAGGGAATTAAGTGAACGGAAATAAATAAGCTCTGGTACCGTGGGCGGCAATGCAGCTGGGGAGGGACAGGTGGGGAGGGGGCAGCGGCCAGGCTCCAGTTCCCAGGTCCCATGTCCTCTCAGCGTGAGATGGAGCAGAGCCCTGCACAGCGACTGCTTCCGTCGCCTGCATTTGTCCTGCTCTGACAGTCGCAGGGGACTGGTTTCCTCGAGAGCCTCAGGACCACCCAGTTCTGTCCCGTGTGTGGTCCTCCTCTCTTCGCTGGGATAAACGCCCAACTCCCAGATGGACAAGCAGAGACGCCTCAGTCAGCAGGTGCTTTGTTCATGTGGGAGCTGTCTGTCCCCCGTGTGGATTTTTGGAATTGTGTGCTCTGCACAGGTTAAATCTCACCCAGACACCGGGCCTCAGGAGAATGCAAGAGGACTTTTCTTAGTGTTTATGCCAACCAGAAGGCCGGCACTAATTTCACTCGATCCCAGCAGAAAATGACAACCTTCCAGGGCTGGAAACCGCACTTTGAGTCGCTGGAACGTGTTGCTTCATTCTTGTTTTCCTGGGACATTCACACATGACAACAGATGGCCTCAAATGGGCTGCTTGGCTAAGGAAGAGAAGAGGAATTCACTGTGATTTACTCCCTGTCCCACACAATTCCTCCCTCATTTTCTCACCAGTTCAGCTCTGCCTGTGTAGATCAAGCACTTCCTCATCGCTGCCTGCTTGCGGGTGTGCCATCAGTTAGCTGCAGATGCAAAGATGTGCAAGACAAGAGCTTGCTGCTCGGTTAGAGGGAAGAGGAAGAAAAGAGCAGTGAGTATCTCCTTTCTCCCTGCAATTCTCACATCTAAAGCTACAACTCCACGTCATATATCAGAAAGGAATAATTTCCCTTTTGCAAGTGAATGAGAGTAAATTTCAGTCTAAGACAAAGGGAGCTTCATTTGTTCAGATAAATTCTAATATTTCAGACAAGGCCTGGTCCAGAGCCTACTTTGCCTCACATTATTTCTTGATCCTCCTTCCTCATGTTGTTGTTCGCTCCCGGGCAGTTGCTTCCATTTCTGGCCCTGAGATGGTAGCAGTGCTGTCCACACTACCTGAAGGGGTAAAGTCCTGTACAGGAAATGGACAGCAACATTGAGGAGTCTAGGGAAGCAACTACGAATGTTCTTCCTGTCCATGCCTTCACCTGCGGTAACTACACCTTGAAGGCACCATGCTGGCGAGTGTGCAGCAGCTGCAAGGGCCGGGAGCCTTGTCTGCCGCATCTGCTGGTTTTCGTAGTGTAAATGTGCTCACTGGGGCCAGCATCCCTGGATGCAAAGTAGGGAACATAAGTGTAGTGGATGCATCATCATTACACAGATTTCCCATTGCTCAGAGTCACTAAGTGCAGAAAATCCCATGAGCATAGAAAATAGCAAAAATCTAATAATTAAAGGTGTTGAGTCCTGCATACATTCACCTTATTTTAATATAGTTTATTTAAAGTCAGATTTACTTTTTAAATAATGGCTGTGTGTAACAGCTGACTTGCAAAGTCCTGGAAACCCTGGCAGTCAGCTCTCAAGAGTCAGTACAAGCCAGCGTCAGGCAGGTGGTGGTTCAGCATGTCATTCTGCTCAGGTTTGACAGCTACAGTTCCACCGTGGGCACATCTGCTAGGGTCGAGCCAAGGCGAGCTTTGTCCTGGAGGCAAAGGACCTGGCGGAACTTTCCAGACACACGCTGGACAGAGGACTTCAAAGAGAAAAATCAAGTACATTCTCCTGATAGAGGCCACAGTTGAGCCTTGGACTGATACGTAGAGATAAAAGGGAAAATTACTAATTTTACTAGGAACTGGGTCAATTTAAGAATGAAGGAGGACCTCAGGAGCCATGGCTGAGTCGTGTGAGTGGGTACACAGCACCCTCAACCAGCCCAGCTCTTTATGTGGCCTAATCCCGGTCCACAGTGCTGCAGAACTGGCCAGGTTAAGACTTCCTCTCCTTTTTCATTTGCAGTGCATTTAAAATCTTGTTCCTTTGAACCCATTACTGCTTTAGAGACGGAAGCAGGAATCTAGGGTATCGCTACAAGCTCAAGGCTCTGAAGTTTTCCCTTACCAAAGACTCTGGTGATTATTTTTCTATTTCTGGTAGTTTCTGATAATGGCAAAAAGAAAACTGTTATAGAAAAGGGGCTTCTGCCCATCAACTATAAGGAGGGGTGGGGATGCAGCCTAGTAACCCAGATGGAGACCCTCAGGATGAAAGCCTCCCTCCCAACATCCCCAACACGGGCAGGGCACGTCCTCGGACCACGGCAAAGCTGAAAGAAGCACCAAGGTGTTATCCTGGGCCACAGTAGTGTCCCGAGGTAGGAGAGAGGAGGGAAGAAAGAAGACGAGATACCATATTTACCCTTGGGATTTTTTAACCAACCAATAAAGAGACAGTAGTGCTTAGTGAGCAGCCATTGTTTGTAGAAGGTAGGAAGGACAGAAAAAGAGACATGGATACCGGAAAGAAAGGAGAAAAGTGGCAAAGGAAAGAAGGTATCAAGAAAGGAAGAGAAGAGAGGGTGAAATATATTTTGATCATGTAGTCTGTTATTTATTTACTACATTAATTCATTGAAGTTATTAATGACTATAAGGTCGGTTAGAAGCAGGGAAAAATTAATCAATGAAAATAATCACCTAATTTCTATCAGATATAAGCAATACAACTCAGCTGTGAAATAGTTCTCACAATCTTTCTGTATTACAACATGCTATGCAATGTCATAGTAACAGCACAAAAATGCTGTCTTCATCCCTTTCTTGTCATTGGGACACAATATTCAACACTCCCAGTTTAAAGGAGGAGAGGTTTAATGTGGCTCATGTTTTAGTCCAAGGTGGGCCGTCTCCAAGGCAGGATGGCATGGTGGAGGGGCACGGATCGGGACAGCCACACACCTCAGTGTGAGGGGAGGGGCGGGGACGTTAAACCCTTCCGGGTCATCCCTGCGTGGCCTGCGTCCTCTGATCAGAATCCATCTGCTAGCAGCAAGCCCGCTCTCCAATCACCCCACAATCCAGTCACTTTTCAGAAGCCCCACCCCTGAACACGTGAGACTTTGACAGCTAAACATAAGCCACAACACTTGTGAGCACCAAATTCAGGTTCACAGCGGGTCAAGGCAGCTCATCTGAAGCACGAGACCTGCCTGGTTGACGTGGTGGAGGAAGAGCATGCTGGACAGCCTTCGCTGCATTTCCCGTGCGTGGGTCGGGAGGGACTTGTGTCCCTTTGCACACTGCCCCGGGCCAGGGGAAGGCAGGAGGCAGGCGAGCTCCAGTTGTCTCTGCCCGCAGGAAATGAGTGTGCCTGTGTTCTATAGCAATGCCCATGTTTTCTATATTGTCTTTTCAGTTTTTATTTTTTATTAGTACATGTTTGAGGTAATAATTACATTCCTATATTCACTGAAGATGGAAAATACAAGCAAAGCAAAGAAAAGGTCTCCAAGTCTCACTTCGTTGTAGCTACCAGATTCACCGAGTTTGAGCCTTCCCAGCATTTCAGGAGTGGAGAGTGTGCACTCATAGTAGGGGAGAGGAATTAGGCACAGTCACAGAGGTGGAGGTGAGAATTACAGCCTAAAGGAAGGGAAGGAGGAGAGAAGGAACTCGAAAGACTGGGGTTTCTAGGCAGCCAAGTAGAGGGAAGTCATCCTGGGGGGTTAGGGGGACCGCAGAGCAGCTGGACTGGAGGGGACTGGGAGACTCAGGTGCTGAATCAGTGTAGGTGCTGGAGAAACATCAGGGGGCGGCTCGTTCCTGAT